GTTCAACGCAGATTCGGAATAAGAACCTTCTTGCTTTCAAACCTCTCTTATTTTCGTTTTTATTCTAAGTGTTTTAGTCATCTTAATCTTTGTTGTGCGGTTCTCGCAGATAGCCGGTTCCTCTGGAAACTTAGGGTTTTCCCGAAGTTTCCTTATTTACGATTTATTTGACAGTAGGGTGAAATCGACTCCCACAATACTTCTGTAGTTAATAGATATGAGATGTAGCTTGCAACAAAGTAGAAGTGATGATCTTAAGTTAAGATTTGATTGAGTCCCTGCTGTTTTTCTAAAACTTCTTCCAAAGACTAACTATTGTGTTTGCTTGAGGACAAGTAAAAGGTTAAGTCTGGGGGAGTTGATCTACCATGGTTTTGACCCACTTTTAACCATGGTATTAAGATGATTTTACAATATATATATATATATATATATATATATATATATATATATATATATATATATATATATGTTTTGGAGATTATTAGGTATGTTTTCTGGTTCAGGAGCATTTTGGAGTAAAGTGATGATTTAGGTGCCCTTATGGAGCTTAAAAGAGAGTTTTCCCGAGATGACTATGAAGATCAGACAAGAAGGTCGATATCCAGATATACATATCGATACACATCCTATGTAATCGATCGACGACGCTTCCGTAGAAGATGACGAATCGAGATACTTCATCGATCGATGTACGCCTTGTACCATCGATCGATATCAAGCGTGAAGAATAAGTTTGACTCAGCCGAGTTGAAGCCCAAGTTCTCTCAATATTACAAGATTGCCCTTGACGAGTTTTTAACCCAATAGAACTCATATTTATAGTTATGCCTATTTGTTTTGGCAGAGTGTGCTTTTCTTTTCTGCCTTTTTTATGCTTCTTAATACTCATAGTTATTTGATTTATAAAAGTATTCTTTTCATCTTATTCTCATTTTCATCATAAGGTTATAGAGTTCTAGATTTAGAAGAACACACAAAGAGATTTGTTGTTCAAAGGAACCAAGTGTTCAATCTTCTAATCTTATGAATTTCTATTATTACCTTGATGCTATGAATCACTTAGCCATGTCTGAGTAGATTCACTTGTTAGATTTGGGGTTCAAATAGTTATGAGGGATTAGCCTCAACTATGGAGTGTTGAGTTGTGATATTCATTATCCTGATGAACCCTAATGCTTACTCTAGAGTAGCTAACTAGAGTATGATCCTGGAATGATTTGACTTGTCAATCATCATCCTGAAATCATCAAGCATAAACTAAGGTCCTGTAGGGACGAGCGAGAGCCGGTCTATGATCTTGGTGAACACATATTCAGTTCGATCTGAAGCTATATCGATCGATACTCCTATAGAGTAATCGATCGACGACTACCTATATCGCCCGATATCGCTGTCAAAACATCGGTCGATATTGCCGGCAGTCAGATCAATGGACGAGTCTAAATAGCGATTGCTAATAGACTTATCTAAGAGTTGAAGTTCTTTAATATCTTGCAAGCAACTTATTAAGACATCTATAGCATTATAATCCTGATTATCTGAATAGCAACCTTGAAACTAAATACTTTCTTTTATTGTTTAAAACCTAAACCAATTCTCTTGAGCAACTCATCATTGCTCACAACTGCAATTTACTTTTACACTAAATCAACCTAACATAATCATTAAGGATTATATCTTTTGTGTTCCTTAGTTCCTTGTGGATTCTATCCCTAAGTTGATCAACTGAATCTCTTATTTGAGAGAATAATTCACTTCTTATGGTAATTTGAGTGATATCAGTGTACTGTTTACTCCCTTAAAATTTGAAGGGATAAAGATATGTTAGAATGCAAAAGTCTTAAAAAATGAGGTGATAAAGGTCTAACATCCGAGATAGATGTCCAATCTAGTTGAGACAATGAACATAAGATGGATGAAGAATTCCTATTTAATCATTTTCTACTATTATGTAGATCTAATTAAAATATAAAATAAATACAAATTCAACATACAAACATACATGATAATTAGTTTCAAAAAAAGTTAAAAAGATTAAATTCACTCATTGTTGTTTCTCTGGAATGTCAACCATTAGCATCTTTATTTTTTTTAGTTTTAGCCATTCTTTGGCAAACCTTGGCTAAACAAACAGCTTTTAACATGATGCATCGAGGCTAAACAGAGTAGCCCGTTTTACATCCTTACCTAGACACAGACCAAAATAAGCTCGAAAGTTTTGGTTTGGCTATTTTGAGATAAAAGAGATCGTACATTCTGATCTTCATCTCATAATACATTACAAAAATCAACCCAATAATATATACTTTTCCTAACCAATGATATTAGGATCACCGAAACCAACTTTATTATGTAATAAAAAAAACATTGCATACATATTTTTAAAAAGATAAGAAAATGAAATGTGCCTGAGCACATTTCATGGCACATTTCATGCCTGAGTGAAAAAAAAAAAAAAAAAAAAAAAAAAAAAAAAAAAAAAAAAAAAGAAATGTGCCTGAGTGGTTTTGTACCAAAACTCTACGAGAAATACGGCGTCGTATAGAAAAAAACATATCAAAGATCTCAACCTTATTGTTCGTAGACTTTGACCAAAAGTTGGCTTACTTTCATCCCCAGTCCATCCCACTTTTTGGTATCTTTGCCTAACCCCAAGAAATAAAGAAGACGTTATCACGGCTTGGAAACCAATACAGCCTCTTTAACGGAGATAGGCAACAATCCCTCAGTCACGCCGTTACCATTTAACTTCACCGTTGACTGTGTCGTCATGCCGGAAAGATTGGGAGAAGAAGAACGACCTCCGACGCCGGCAGCTCCAGAGATCAAAGGGTTACGCGAGTGACACGTGGCAGTTGAGATGGCTGTGGCTAAAGAGATAGGCATTAGACAAAGGCCTTTCCCTTGAAGGTATTGCATCGCCGAGCCCATGTCTTCTTCCATCAGCTTCGCTACTTGATGCTCCGTCATCGTCAAGCTGTCGTTGGAGTTTCCCGTCGCCTGATTACCCCCGCCAGAGGCTGCGTTCCCGTGGGACCCATCTGCCTAAAAATAAAAAATAAAAACATTCTTAAAAAAGAAAAGACAAAAGATAAAGACAAGAAAGCGAAACCCTAAGTAGTAATAGTCGGCACGCGTGCTCTCTCTTTTCTCTATCTTAGAGTTTTAAAATGTTGGAATTTGTCTTGGAATCTTTATAGATGTCTATTTCATTTGAACTTCTTGCAAGATTTATCTATAATTGACATGCATGAAATTTTGTAACGCAGATTGCATATAATATAACATTATAACTTCATTATTCATATAGCAAATGCAATTTAGTTGAAATTGATATGGTTTCATTATTTTATCCGTTAACTTTGATATAAATTATTGGAGTTTATAAAACAATGGAGAAGAAATAATAGAATTGATTACCTCAGAGATTTGAGAAGGAACGGAAGCACCACCACCCAATCTGCTCATGCTCAGTACCTAAAACGCAATAATTAAAATCAAAGCAGGATTATTAAGTACACCGGTCCACTATTATATAAATAAATATGCATTATAAAATGAGAGTAGACAATCCAGAAAAAAAATAATAGAGAGGGAGCATAGGGAATTTAGTTGCAGAGGCCCATATATATTTGATTAATTGGAATATCGATATTGTACTAATATACCAGCTTTTCTTTTTGTGTACTATGTCAAGGCAAATGAAGAATCTTCAATAAATATAATAAATTGAAACATAATTTGGTATGTAAGAAACTACGACTTGCTTTAACAACTGTAAGAAACGTTTGAGAGACTGTGAGATTCACCTTGACTTGGAGCTGTAAGAACTTGACATAATCTATAATTTCATCGAGCATCGATGCCTTGTCCGTCTGTTAATTATTATGTAAATAAATATACAAAAATAATCTGTCAGAACAGAGATCCCAACCATTAATTACTGCATTAGTTAACTTAACTATATTATTGTAGCGCAATTAGTTAGCTAATCAGTGTTTAATGATTTGATAGATATGTTATATAGAGAGGCGAATCAACCACCATTATATGAGTACAACACAAAGTATGAAATTTTACTTATCAACTCTTGAGTTTTGGTCGATAAATAGTAACTTATGAAAATAATAAAGAGTTCTAGTTGACATGGCAAACAATCTATCGAAGCCGTGAACAACTCCAATTCCTGATCAATCTTCCAGATGTTGATTATAAACGATGTAAAGTTCAATGATCCGTTTAAATATATTTGAAAAAAAAAAACTGAAAAATGAATTCAATTAACTACCTTATTGCCGTTAGGAACGAGTTCTTGAAGACCTTTCATTCTCTCCGCAATTCTCTCTCGTCGTAACTGCCCCATAAAAACATTTTTCCATAACTTTCAGAAAATAGTCCAAAAAGTTTAACACTTCTCTTTTCAAAAGGTAGAATTAATAATTTCCACACTTTTCTCGGTAACTGATACGAGTTAGTGCAACGGAAAACATTTCTTTTCATTCTTTTATTTTTGCTTAAACGAAATGCATTTCGAATAATAATTAAAAAAAAAAACAAAAAACAAACCCTTTCGGCGATACTGTGAGGATCAGTTGCTTGGCCTCTTCTAGCTCTGACTTTAGTCCTACTCTGCGGTGGAGCCGCCGCCGTACCGCCAGTAGCTGTAGACGCACTTCCCTGCGGTTGGTTTTGCGTTAGGGTTTGTCCTTGCTGATTAATTAGCCCACCTCCTGATCCCTATAAAATATGATCAATATATTAAGGTTTTAAACTTCCACCAACAAGGAAGCGGAGAAAGAGATTTGTTAGGTTTTATACCTGAGGGATGTGGAAAGGGAGAGATCCGCCAGCAGAGAAGCCAGTGTAAAGAGCGTGGACGGAGGAGCCATCAACGACCTCGTTTTGATGATGAGACGACAAAGGCATCATCATGATCTGTTGATGCCTAGAGTCGACGAAGCCATCAGAGGACGGAGGCGGCGGAGGATGAGCTTCGTCGGAGGGCCAAGGGGAGGAAGCAAAGATTTGGTCGAGGAAATCTTCATGGTCAAAGGTCGTCGCTGGAGTTTGGACATGGGAAGAAGATGAAGAAGGAGTTAGAAGAGAAGAGTTCATCATCTTCCACACTTTTTCTTGGGAGGAGGGAGTTAGAAATGTTGAGGTTCGGCTTAATTATTATAAAGAGGCATTGATGTAGTAATATTTTTAATTGTTATAGGGTTTGAAATAATAATAATAAGGAATTAATATAATTATCATTTTTAAGTGATGGTTGAAAAGAAAAATTAAAACACTTTTCTTTTTCGTTAGCAACCCATATTGTATGATGATGAGTCGATGATTATCTTCGCCTTTAGTTGCCGTCTAAACTTTGGTTTATCTTTACTCCATATCAATCATCTATAGTATTAAAGTTGAGTACAAAAATAAAATGTTTGAAAACATGAATAAATTTTTTTTTAAAGTTTGATTAGAAATATAGATAGCATACAAATCTAATGTACTTATTTATTAAACTAAAGATTTATGCATCCAAAGTATCATTATTATTGTTTTTGCATTTTTTATCATTGATATTATTTTTTTTCTGCAAATTAGTTATACATATATTTATTCATGTTTTAAATATATTTAGAATAAATCAAGAATAATATATATTTTATTTATATAATTTATATCGACTGTTGTTATAAGTTTTTAACAGAGATATACTCCCTCCGTTTCACTTTGGTTGTCATTCTAGATTTTTGCACACAGATTAAAGTTACATTTAATTTTACATATTTTTAAGATAAAAACACAATTACCTATACACCTAACTACTTTTCAACCAACAGAAAAATAGAATATCATATAAACCTAATAAACTTTGCCTCGAAACTTTAAAACGACACTTGTTTTGAAACAAAATTTTTTCTGTAGAATGACATCTAATTCGAAATGGAGGGAGTACTAACTTTCCAATTCTTCATTAAATATTAACTTAAAAATTTGACTAAATAGTTTAGTGTATATAACTTTGGGCCAAATTTAGTCTAAAAAACTTTATAAACTATTACTAAAATGTTTACGGGTCACAACATTTTACAACGCTTTTGTTACACAATACAGTGATGAAATACAATGTTTAAACAGTATACTATTACTTAGTAAAATTAAAACCATTAAATTGTAATTTTTAAAATGTTTATATATACCATAAAAACAAAGACCCGTCCAACCTAGTTCCTTTTACAGCTTAACACTTTTTTTTACTAAAAAAGTAATACACATTTTTGTTTAATATATTAATTGCTATTATTTTGTTTTCTTAATTTCTGAATATTATAAGAACGTGATACGAAAGTAGTCACTAAAACACTACTGTTACATGCGGGCGTAGAAATGGTAAATTGAAGTATAAGCACCATGAACTGATACTTGGTACCCATTATAAAGTGAATATTTTCAAAACGGTTTATATCCAATACCAAACTTTAGGGATCCAAACTAAAATCCCAAAGTTTAAGGTTAATTTTGATTAGATCAACTTTAGGAGTACTTTTTTCTAACCTCTTCACCAGTAATTTTGCATTGCAGTTATTGGAATTTTAAATTCACTTCTAAAGTACTTTTATCTCGCCTTTTGCTTGTTCAGAACCTAAGTAAGCCTTGATTTCAAGTAATCCAACCTAATTTAGAAGTGGTCCGACTGTTGGGAGGTGAACCAAATTATAGTTATATTTTATAAATCCTTTTGATGGTCTTGTCCATGTCAGATTGTTGTCAATTTGTCGTTGTGCATCACGAATCCCATAAGAAAGAATTGTACTGAAAAACAGTTTTATGTTTTTATTAATAGTATAGGGCAGTTTATTCTACTTTGACATTTTTTTCTCACTTCTTCCTTAATTCCTAACTAAGTCAATTGTTTACTAGTTAAATTATAACCAATTTCACTTTATATCTTATTTTTTATTTTCCAGTAACTAGATCTAAAAATTACTTTCTTCTTTTTTATATTTTATTTTCTGTGTTCACTTCTAAACAACCGCCATTCCTTTTTCAACGAGAATTCTGTTATCAACAACTTCAAACCATGAACTCCATTCTAACATAACTATACCGTCGTGGTCAATAAGCTCCGGCTTAGAATTGTGGCCACCAGGTTTGTTGTTTCTTTAGTCGCATATTGAAAAGAAAGTTTCACTGGTACAATAATGGTGAACTTTTTATTATTTATACATCTAGTCTTCTAACTCTTATTTATTTTCTAATTTGTTTTAAACTTCTTTTTTTGTTTAAGTTTGTCCACGAATTTGTTCCAAAACTTTTAGTTGCACAATCCAAACCAAACAAATATTCAGATTTTGAAACATTGGTTCCTGCCCTTTTGTTTTATTTTTGCTTATACCCGAAATGTTTTATTTGAAAATGTCACTGAAGCAAACCAAAAATTTCAAAAGAAATTCAATAATTTTGGAGACAATATATTATGGATGACTAGTATAAATGGTCTAAATGAAGTATCAAATTTTCAATTTTATCCTACGTGACAACTTGAATAATTTCTAAATGTATACATGTGATTATCTTTCTTCTTTGAGAAACTAACTAAAACCTTTTAAAATCATTATTTTAACTTGAAAAATGTACAAATAAATCGGTGTACATAATTTTTTTCTCTAGATTGGGACTACTCTAGATTGGAAAGTTTACATGTTTAATGTTTATGTAAATAAAAATAATAAAATGATATGATATTCATATATTATTGTACAAGTTAATTAATGTACATATGAATAATTGTACATGTGAATAATAGAATATTTATGTACATGGTATAGTGTACAGAACAAATATTTTTTAAAATTGATATGCTCGAGCTATGGGGTTGGAATCATTAATGAGACATGATTCAAGTACATATGTACATATTTATTTTGATATTTTGAGTAATCAACATTCAATCCATATATATGACACCACATATTTTCAATCACCTTCTATGTACACGTCCTTTCAACATGTACACATATATTTGAGATACATGTTAGATGTTCAACATGCTGTAAAGTTATGTACATGTGTACATTAAAGATTTGTGGTGTACAAGTGCTAAGAGCTGAACAAAAAAATTCTAGAAGTTCAAGGACCCGTTCATGTAATCATGGAAGGTCTGGTATGTACATTTAAAAAGTGAGTAATCAATTTGCAAATGATATATTTGCAATTTAGAAATTTTTGGGACAGAAATAAATATACTAAAAAAATCGAGGACCAGATGAGAAATAAAACGAAAAGTGGCCATTGTTGCTCATCAAGCTTTCACGACGAAGTTGAACCGCGTCAGAAAAGCTCGAACCGGTCAGGACTATGTTTGCACCTCCAAGAAGATGATCTGATGGTGATGATAAAACAAGATCCGCCACATATTGGTCGCTTCCAAGGTATCTCCGCTTCACATATATGGGAAGAAAAAATAAAAAACCCAGATATTTTTGCATTAACTTTTTGGATCTTTAGATCAGCAATAAAAAATGTAAGTTAGTTGTATAGAAAAAAAAAAGATGGTGTAAATTTAAATCTTGTTGATGTAATAGATCTGAAATATTTTGAGATCTTTGTGTCTTCTTCTTTTTCTTGTTTGGAAAAATTTAGAAATAATAAAATTTATAAATTTATTTTTGTTAGAAAGTAAAAAAAACAATGATAGAAGAAGAAAAAAAAATAAGGAAAGAGAAAATGATAGGTTCCACTAGTTAAAAAAATACATTTATAATTTAGTTGTAGATGAGATAAACTACTTTGGTAGTTGAAACTAACTTATTGTGTAGTAAAAGTATAAAAGCTCGATAGTGTTAATAACTCATCCCATAAACCCTTTGATTTGGATCAATATATATTACCATTTGCCATTATCATTTTGTAAAATGTCAATTTTGTTTTTGGAAAACAAATTTCAATTTTGTTTTTGGAAAACAAATGTCAATTTTCCTCCATTGTATATGATCATTTGATGATGAGAAAAAGAATGAAATCACAGTAGTTTTTTGGTTCTAAAAATATTTTCATGATGAAAAATATCTAAGACTAACAAATTTTGATATGGTATATTCATCAATGATGCTCAACCCCATCAAAAGTGTTCTCTCGAAATTTACTGTTTTTTTGCTGTCCCCAAGATCACAAACATATTATCTCAAAAAGATACTCGTATTTGGAATTAAAATCACAAAATATGATACTCCTTCCTAATTATATGATGTTTTAGAAAATTTAAATTGTTTCCAAATATAATATATTTTGAGGTTTAAGCTATGTTTTAAGATTTTAAGGTCAATTTTTACTTTATTGGAAACTATTTAATCAATCAAAATTTACAGTATTTTATAATTGGTTGAGGGATTATAAAATAATATATTTAAAATTATTTTTAGAATAATGTAAATTTCTTAATCTTTGTGAACCAAATCAAAACATTATATATTATGAAACGGAAGGAGCAATAAATTTTAAAATAAACTAGAGTTTGATCCGTACTTTCGTATGGATATTATTTTTTATTTTTGAATTTTTTATTATCATTAGTGTTATACATATTAGATATACCACTATATAAGTAATTGTATTTTAGTTATCTCAATATTTTTAGGTTCCTATAATGCCTGAATGAATTTTAATTTGAAAATCCAAAAATCCGATATCTGAAAGAAATGATATATATCTGAACAAATACATCAATACTCATGCTTAATCGATTATGTAAATAAATAAATAAATCTTTATTGCGTTTTGAATTTTTGTCCCGAATGAAGCGATTTTATTCAAACATGTCAAATTATTATGTTTAACATATAAATAATGCTATTGACCTATTATGTTAAAAATACAATTAATAAAGTTGATATAAGAAATATGATCAAATATATATAAAGATGTAATAAAACACTTAAAATAGGTAACTTTTTTTATATTTCTATAATAAATATTGTCAAATTATTTAGAAAAGACAGTAAATAAACTGGATAACATTAATTAAAAACAGAAAAAATAAGTAAGAAACCACTTAAAAATAAGCAAATATTGTTTTGTAATTTAGTTTAACGGAATATGTTTCCATATCAATATGATATTTTTATCTTGAGGATATA